AAATGGATCTAATATCCCTTTGAATTAGTTTCATTTAGGAACTACTCTGTTCACTTTAACTGTCTTTTAAGCACTTCAGCTAGGTTTCAGTGCATCTTCAGAATAATACTATAGGTTCAGATTCAATCTGAGAGAGAATCTGACCTGTACTGGATTTCAGATAAAAGTGAGATTGGGACACTTTAAATGATTCTAAAACATTTGTTGTTGGTGTTGATTTTGTTCCTTGCTTGCATACATCTTGCCCCCAGAGACAGACAAATTGTTAAATATTTTATCTGATCCAGTGTGGATGAACAGGAAGCATTCAGGAAAAGAAATACACTGAAACTTTGAAGTTGAATTCAGTGACCCTAATGTTAACATAAGTGCTCGTTCCTAGTATTTCCTTTTGTTTTGGTTATAGACATCAGAGATCTAGCAAATAGGAAGGTGGTAGGAACAGGAGCATAAATGGTAGATAAGCTCTTTGAATTAGGACCTGTACCAGAAGGAAGTCGCTATCTCAAGGCCACAATGACTGCATTGTTTATCTGTAGAATCCTAACCCTGGTCTGTTAAAGGGCATTCCCTCACTGTGGCTACAGTCATGAAGGGTACAGCTTACACAAAATTTGATATGGGAAGTTTTTCTCTCTAAAACTAGTCAAAAGATAACTTAATAAAGATAATAATTACAATCTATTTTGTGCCCAGTTAGTATTTTAATAATTTGAGGAGAATGATGTCAGGGATTATCACCTTTTCATATTTGTAAAGGTAGCAATAGGTGGTGTTGATGTATGTATGGGTAGTAAACACCATACTATTTCTCAGGTTATATCATGGGAGAAACATGGAGTGTATTCATACTGGTCCTACCAACTTAAAGACACACTTAAAGACACTTGCATGCTGAAGTTCATAGTCTGTTACACTATCTTGATTACCATAGGTGTAACTCTTATAGAAGTCAGGCCAGGTCATGGCCACTATTCTCTGTTGTTTAAAATTCCTGCAAATTTCACATACATTAAATAATATATAAGTAATAAATTATTAGGGCAACAGTTCAGTGTATTATTTTTGTCTTGTGTTGAAAATGGATATGGCATTGTACATAATAAGCCTATTAGTAAGTGTCTTAGCTGTAGGTGTTTGATTTATTAAATATTCCTGTAGATTTTTCAGTTGCTGAACTTCACATATGCTCTGAGAGCCCATCTGTGGGCTCTTTCAGTTCGTCTTCTGCCTGAGAATAATACTTACTGTTTGTGTTAGACCAAATCTTACACTGCACAAGAGAGAAGCAAATGACTAGATAAATGCCTAGAACACCAATTTCTAGCTGTGGTAATAATTTTAGAAAGGTATTATTTAGGACCAAAAATTTTTTGCTTGTTTTGTCTTTTCTGTTTAGTTTTTGTGTAATGCTATCTTTTCTTATTAACAGATTAAACAGCAGTGACACTGATGGAGAGCCTATGTATATTCAGATGGTAACGGCACTAGTTCTGCAACTTATTCAGTGTGTGGTGCACCTACCATCAGCAGAAAAAGATTCTAATTCAGAGGAGGAATCAAACAAGAAAGTAAGATATTTTTAAAAAGCCATAATCTTTTTTTTTTTTTCTGTGCAGGAATGACTTTGTGTGTTTATAGGTATAATATTTTATTATGGTGCTCTAGTAATCAAACATTGTAATTTTGTGTCTGCTGTAATTTTTTGATGCATGACAAATGCTGATCTGCAAATCATATTTCTGTGTATGCCAAAATAATAGACAAATATATCTTGTTATTTTTAGGTGGATCAGGATGTCCTTATTACTAACTCATATGAAACAGCCATGAGAACAGCACAAAACTTCCTTTCTATTTTCCTTAAGAAGTAAGTACTGTTGCATTCTTTAGTGTATTGATGAAACAAACTCCAAATAAAGTCTGTCATACCTTAAGACAAACCTAACCACTTTGCAATGCTAAATACCTACTCATAAAGTTATTTATAACAATATACTTTATAGATCCCTAAGAGTACTTGTCTGGGCAAAAGTTTTTGTGGAACAGAAATTCTGCAGAGAGTTCTTTATACGTTTAAGAATCTGTTTGATCATGTAGGATCCTTTTATTAGGAGTCTCTTACTCACCTGTATCCTGGAAGAGAAGGCTGAGTAAATATTTAAGCGGTAAAACCATATTCATTCAGTCATCAGAATGTCAAAGACACAAAAAAACTAAAAATAACTTTCATTTAGCTAAAGTTAGAAATGTCAATAGCTCAACAGGGGAAAAAAATATATATATACCTGAATAACCGAAGGATTTCTAAGAATAAGTTCTGAGGTTTTTACTGTGTTAGTTTCTACTCTTAAGCCAAAAGGCTATTTAATAGCCATCTAGCAATCTCTCTGCATACTTCTAGTATCATTAAAATAAGGGATGCCACATATAAGTGAAACGCTAGCAGGTATGTTATCTTTTGGGTTTTTTTACATTCTGATTTTAACCTTTGTGGAGCATAATACTGAGGCATCTTATCACTGTCAGATAAATCAGACCAAGCTTAAGGAATATAGCCACAACACCTCCTAAATACCCCAATACAGCTTGAGCTTTACAATTTTACCTACTTTGTCCATCCAAGTTAATGCAGACTTCAACTCAAAGCAATAAATAAAAGAATTTTAGGAACAAAATTCTACTACTGTGGATTAGCTGCTTTACTTGCAGTGCAACTTGGAGTGGTAACTGTTTAAACTATTTCTCTGTATATGAATAAAACAAATTTTCTGCTAATATTTCAGATTTTTTTTTTAGAATTGCATAAAACTGCTTTTCTGATTAAACATAAGATTACTTCTGTTTATGTCAGAAGAAAAGCTTAAATGGCTCTTAAATTTGCTTACAAAATGCATTTTCTCTTAAACAGGTGTGGCAGTAAACAAGGGGAAGAAGATTACAGGCCACTGTTTGAGAACTTCATTCAAGATCTTCTTTCCACAGTCAATAAACCAGAATGGCCAGCTGCGGAGTTGCTACTTAGCTTATTAGGAAGGCTATTGGTAAGGGATTCTTGTTTTTAACTATTATATTAATTTCTTTTTACTAAAATGAAGACTTGTTTATTTCATAGAATCATAGAATTGTTAAGGTTGGAAAGGACCTCTGAGATCACCCAGTCCAACTGTTAACTTAACTGCCTGGTCCATCTCTAAACCTAAGCACCACATCCACACACTTTTTCAATACTTCTAGGGACTGTGATTGCACCACTTCCCTGGGCAGTCTGTTCCAATGCCTAACCACTCTCTCCGTGAAGAAATTTTTCCTAATATCTAATCTAAATCTCCCCTGCCACAACTTGAGGCCGTTTCCTCTTGTCCTATCACTTGTTACTTGGGAGAAGAGACCGACCCCCACCTCGCTACAACCTCCTGTCAGGTAGTTGTAGAGATTTCAGTGGAAAGTACTACAGGAATGCTTGGCACACATGCAGCATTTAAGGATTTTCTTACATGTATTGCTACTATGTAATACATAGATAATAAAATTTGGGTTAGAGGATCATTGATCTGGAACTTGTTAAAGATCATATGTATACAGTTTCTCATGGAAGTTCACTTCCACTATTCTATGACATTTTCAACATGAAAAAATGCCATTGCATAGCATCTAATAAATGTAGATGTTCACTTGGAGTAAAGTCAGACTAATAGCTGTAGTTATTAATGTTAAATATCTTCTCTGGACTATTCCTTTAGCAAAGAACCTGAAAACAAATAAGCACTTTCTTTTTTTACCGATAATAGCATTTACTTATGATATTTTACAGAATGTAAATATTTTTGTTGACGTGTTTTGAGAGTTGTTCTTCAGTGTTACAATGTAATTAACACAGCAATTTGAGCTGCTTCTTGGAAAAATATTTTATGGTCCTGTTTCTGGTAAAATGTAGCTTTCTTTATACTTGCGTGAATAATGAGGAATTTGCATTATGGTCCTTAAGATCTATGCTATTGCAAAGGATATCTGCTGTACTAGTTGTCTAATTTATCTTATGAAAATAAATATTTTTAAAAACTCTAACAGGCATATTTGTAGAAAGAGAGACGCAATAAAGGAAGAAACATTAATGTAAATAAGTAGTGTATCTGTGATGTAATAGTAAATTACATAATTTTATGCAGCATGGAAGTTAGGTGGAATTTTTAGTAAGGTCAAGCAGTCTCTTGTGAGAAGAATCTCAGTTGCATAAATAAATACTTGTTTTTAACAGTTTGTTCTGTTTTTCTTAGGTTCACCAGTTCAGTAACAAATCTACAGAAATGGCATTAAGGGTTGCATCGCTTGACTATCTTGGAACTGTAGCTGCAAGACTCAGGAAAGATGCAGTCACTAGCAAAATGGATCAAGGATCTATAGCCAGAATCCTCAAACAGGTGTGTGAGAGATCCCATGCCAGCTGCATTGACATGTATCCATTCAAATACTTCAAAGTTTTAAAGATGTTTGAAAAACTGGCGTTGTGGAGAATCAGTCTTCATTGTTCAGATTTTTGAATCAAATATACTCAGTTTATAAGTATTACATTTGTTAGCTCATGTCTTCCTTGCGCCATCTCTGTAGTGATCATATGAAGTGGTTAATTACAGTGATTAAGCCAGTTTTCTTGTAACAATACAGAGGAAATAATGGAGCAATAGTTGGATTCTATCTTAAGAGGCCTTAAATACGGATGTATGTGCATTTGCTATTGCAAAGTGGTAACTGAGCTGCTGGCACTCATATACAGGCTTTAGAGAGTTAAACTGTTAGGCCTGTAAGGTTCATTTTTATGTGATGTAGCTGGTGTTGGTCATCAGGGTTTGGAGGGTTTTCTTGTTTATTTGTTTTGTTTTTTAAACTGGACTTGCATATATCTTTCATTAGAGAGTGTTTCTGCTAATGCTGTTACGAATCTGCAAGGGTGGCAACAATTATCAAAGCAATGTATGCATTTGGGCTCTATGCTGTACATAGTATGATGAGAAAATCTTAGATCTTATGTGTCCTTTTAAAAATGTGGACTTGCACATTTCTTATGGACGCAATACATTTCTTTCTGAACTGCTAACTGTTCTCAGCGTGATCTAAAGTTGAGTAGTCATATCAAGTTTGTTTCCCTTTCAGTTACCTGAAAAGACTACAGATCTATTACATGTACTTTATAATGACTGCTACAGATTTATGTTGAAGGAAAAATTTCTGCGCTTTACAGGCATTCAGATAAAGAATCAAAATTCATCTGCTCCTTTATGAGGCTGATACTTCCCATAACTTTTGTCAGTTAGAATATTCTACAACGTATGGTGTCAAGTCTTTATGTCCATGGCTTAATATAATTTATACTTCTGTGTGCTAAGGGGTTATAATACTCCCCTGTTGGCAGTGATTCTGACAATTCTACATTAGACTTCATAGGGAAATACTTCAGAAGAATTCTTTTCTCTTTCCTTATCTCCAGAATTTATAATAGTATTGAAAGATATTCTAAGAGAATACCTACCTGAGCGGTGACCTACATGAATATTTCTATTTATTTTGGGGTTTTTACAGGATCAGGCAGTAACTAGACTTTGGCATCTGCAGAAAATAAAATTGCTGTGGGCAATTGAGTGCTAAAAGCATTTTTTTCAGTTGCTCAGGAAGCTTAACATCAGTGATGGTAGACAGTACCATCTGTGCATTGTGGAAGGTAGAGTACCATCAGTCAGGGTAGACAGTGTTGTTGTAACACAAGAACAAATAAATACTTGGAAATGGTGTACATGACAGCTAAGCTTCACTTTGCTGTTCAAATGGCAAGAAAATAAGACAATCCATTGGTAGACATACTCAGCTGTCATCATCAGAATCTTAAATTATTATTTCCATTCGGAAATGAACTTATACCTCTACAGATTTTTCTTTCTTGCTAAATTGAATACTTAGACTCTGTTGGATGTTTCCTTCTACGCTCTGATACCATTCTGATATATTCTCCAATGATTGATGAATGGTTATAACTCTCTCTACTGTGGTTTGGACTCGTGACCCATAGAATTAGATTTAGGAGAAAATCTATTCTGCTTTGACATTTTTAAGCAGTAGATTTTTTTCATAGAAATCTGTCATGGATTGTCAAGTTGATTTGAACACTTGTGCATGCTTTTCATGAGTTTATCTCTTGATCCACTGATATTCTGGACTTGTAACTATACCTTTCTCCACTTGCTGATGTTTGCAAGCTATATTATGTGCTGTATTTGTGACAAGATTCTCAATCTGTGCTCTTCGTACAGAAGTTAAGATGGTTGTAAGTTATGAGTTTTAGCACTGAAGAAGAAAAATGTTTTGTAGCTAAAGAATTTTAAGCCAGAAATTATTCTTCTACTTTTATTATCAATATTGAATATGATTTGTTGTAGTCTTCATAGTTTCTCTTTGTTCTGGGTTTTTTACTTGTTTGAAAATAGTTAGGCAGTTAAGGTTCATCAAGCAACCCTTTTATTCAGCTAGTTATCCACAGAATTTATCATTGATTGAAGCCTAGAATTTCGAATCACAATTTAAATGTATATTAGGGTGCCAAATGTATATATAATCCTGTATCAGTATTATGTGCATTGTAGACATGTTTTGAACTCTTGAACTTACTCATTTTGGAAAAAAATATATCCTTTTGCCTGCTGTACTATCAGCAACAGCAAAGACCTGTGTATTTCAGTATAATACTAAGGAAAAAAGGGTGATTTATAGGTTTGGTTTTATGCTGCCTTGTGGATGTTGAGCACGTTAGTTTCTGACTCATGCATTGATACTGATATATTGTCTATAACCCGTACATGGGGAGAAGTACATTGTCTCATGATCATAACAAGATCGTTATTCAATAGTTATTTACATAGGCCAGAACTGTTTAAGAGATCAGGATATATGTGGAATCATAGAATGGTTTAGGTTGGAAGGGACCTTTAAAGCCCATCTAGTCCAACCCCTGTGCAATAAGCAGGGACATCTTCAACTAGATCAGGTGGCTCAGAGCCCCATCCAGCCTGGTCTTGAATGTTTCCAGGGATGGGGCATCCACAAAGTCTCTGGGCAACCTGTGCCAGTGTTTCACCACCCTCATCATAAAAAATGTCTTCCTTATATCTAGTCTGAATCTACCCTCTTTTAGTTTATAACCATTACTCCTTGTCCTATCACAACAGGCCCTGATAAAGTCTGTCCCCATCTCTCTTACAAGCCTCCTTTAAGTATTGAAAGGCTGCAATAAGGCCAGACCCTTCCCTTCTCTTCTCCAGGCTGAACAACCCCAGCTCTCTGGGGGTTGGAGCATGTCCAGAGGAGGGCAACGAAGTTGGTGAAGGTTCTAGAGCACATGTCTTATGAGGAGCGACTGGGGGAGCTGGGGTTGTTTGGCCTGGAGAAGAGGAGGCTGAGGGGTGACCTTATTGCTCTCTACAACTACCTGAAAGGAGGTTGTAGCGAGGTGGGGGTCGGTCTCTTCTCCCTAGTAACGAGTGATAGAATGAGAGGAAACGGCCTTAAGCTGCGCCAGGGGGTTTAGGTTAGATATTAGGAAAAACTTCTTCACCAAAAGGGTGGTCAAGCATTGGAACAGGCTGCCCAGGGAAGTGGTTGAGTCTCCATCCCTGGAGGT